CGAGAAACCCCTTGTTAACGATGAGAATATTGAAGGAGGTCAATCTATGCAGCCTGAAGAAAATCAAGAGAATCCATTTTTTAAAAATGTTGACCGCAATTGCATTACACGTGTCCTTACAATGCGAAATGTTCCATCGCTGGCAAAAGGGCAAAAAACAAATGAAGAGACAAAGAGCGGGACGGACTACAACATTACTGAAGAAATATTCGAAGAATCTGGAAAACTGTTAGACAAAAGATGCCAAATAGGATGTAAGACTGCGAATATCACTCACACAAATATCAGCGCACCAAAGATTAATCCGAAAGCTCATGCTTTGTCAACTTCAAACACAGTTGTTGGGCAACAAGGAATAAAACCACCACGAAATCATCATGAAAATAATGAACATCAAATAACCTCAAATAAACCAACATCAAAATTGCGGCCTGTAACCGGTGTACAAGAAACTAACTATATGATGAACGATTTAAACAAAGCGATACCTAAATGCGCCAGAAATGGTATTTTCTTCTGCTTGGATTTTCCCATATCCTCGACACAATATGTCGGCCAACTACCGCCTAATATGACATTTCAACGTGTTGACGTCGGTACACGTTTAGTGATAATCATAACAGAAATACATAGTCCATACAAGTTCTGGTTTCATATATATGAAGATACACATTGTTTGGACACGTTAATGGACAACATGGGGGAATGGTATAAGAAGGTAAACAAAAATGAAATGCGCGTGCCGATCGATTATTTGAAGCCAGGGCAATTGTGTGCTGCATTGTTTCGGAATATTTGGCACAGGGCAATGATTACACGATACCCCGTCAAAAATAAAGTCACGGTATCTTTTGTGGACTATGGTACTGTTTATGAAGTTGATGCCGACGAAATTAAATACTTGACTTTTGATTTTTGTAAGTTGCCGGCTCTGGCGTTGCGTGGTAGTTTATCGTATGTTAAACCCCGTCGCTCGTACTGGGATAGCGAAGCCAATAAGTATTTTGCAAGCCTTGTAACCGAAACTTTGATTTATGCTAAGATTTCCAAGATTAATGCTACGCAACATGTCTTTTACATGGTTGCTTGTTGTAACCATGACGACAATGTGATGCAGATGAATAGTGCTCTAATCAAAAAACGTTACGCTTGGCCAGATGATTAGCGGAGGAACCCGTAATATTAAAAAGCTAACCGCAAAGTATTTATATTACTTCAGAGATAAGGCTTACTAATGTGAGATCCTCGACGTTATTTGTAAAAGTATATGTAAAGTTAATATACGGTTTCATTTCTCCACATTCTAAGTTTTTTATTGGATAAGCTCTGATGGCAGACATGTCATTGTATTAAAGTCGTTACGAACATTTCAGTTATTTGGCAACTAACGCTAGCACCAAAGACATTTTGTGTCTACCTATGAGGTAGATTAATTTGATCCACAGACTCACAGAAGTGAAGAGGGGAAGCTGAACGCTCCCACAAGCATTGCTTGATCGAATAGATAGATAGGAGAAAGCAATAATTTTGGAAGATAAAATGACGATGTTGTCGTATATTCGTTTACAATATTCGCTCTTTGTAAGAACCGTTTGCATGCTCAATCCCAAAATTATGCCCGCGCCCATGGCTAAACAGTAGAAGTATGTATGTAGAAGCTGGTATATATCATGTTAATAAAAAATATTTCCATATAAGTAATAGTTGCCTACAACTTTTAGGATACGTTACATACATGTATTCTTATAACTACTTTTTGGAAGCACAAAAATTCTCGATTGTCCCCGGTGTTGAATATATGCCTTAGTTCTTGCAAGAGAGCTTTAATCAAATCGTCCATTGGTGATCGACCAAACTCTACCCAGTCCTAGTTCATTGTCGTCTCTTGTCGCAACTATCAAGCCCTTTAAGAAATGTAAGAACAAAACATGAAATCATTTACGTAATTGAACAGAACTAGCTTTACCAAGTTAAAAGGTTCAGATAATGGAATTTGTTTCCTAAAAGTGTGCATAGCAAGCCAGCGCGCAAATTTGCATAATACAAAACAAAACGTCAGGTTGAATGAAGGCGGAAATCTGTTAAAATTGATGTTTGTTTTATTTTATTTTTCATATTATTATTATTATTAATTTAGCCAGAGAATAAATTTGAAGAGTAAAGACTTAAAGCGCTAGTAGCTAAGGCTTTCGGCTTTATTAAAAACTCCATCGCACTTGAGATTTGAACCCACGATCACTGAGTTGCTAGTCGAGACTCTTGCCCACTCGGTCACTCAGGCGGATTAATTTTTCATTGTTTGCTTCTTAAGCAAAAAAAAATTTATTTATTTTTTTTTTTTAAATTTGTACTAAACGAACAATAAAGATAATATTCAAATATATAATATAGCTAAGTTAACACAGCCCATTCGAGACGGATTGCTCAGTAGTGTGTGCAATACATTTCCGAGCCCAAAAGAAGGGTGTGCATATCGTATATGGAATGGAATTGAATTGGTATTGGAAATTTATATAAAATGACCTAAAATGACCCCGACTCAAAACTAGGGTCAGAAAGATGGCCTTCGGAAAAAATGTGCCGCCTCAAATAGGTTAAATAACAAGTATTTTTTGATAAAACAGTAAAATAAAGCTTAGTTGAATGTCGTTTGCGCTGTAATACTTGTTGTCTTTTTGCGATTAAATTATAGGCTAAGGTAAGTATCAAGTTTATCTTTAATAAGCCAAAACTCGTCGATGATTGCACCGTGCTGATCATCAGAAACTTGTTCAAAATGCAAGTGTGTAGCATTATATGCTCTTAGACGTGTATAACCGTAATCCTGTTTTAAAGCAGAAATAATTGTCTTTGTTTTAAATCTTTCTTAAAGGACAAAACAAATATTTGCAACTATACAAACTTGGCTACGAAAAGCACTCCAGTATGATGCGTTGTGTACGAAATTGTCACGTCCTTCCTTACATCCCGCAGAACCAGTTATGATATGCACTGGCGCCATTGGATTACGATAAGGTTCTGCTTGGGAGCCATTCATTACGGTATAATTGTAGATGGGCCATAGGCGTTCGTATGTATGCTCGTGTGCCCAAATTTCCACATCGACCCCATAATTATAGAAGAGATCTTCCAAACCAAAGGCGTGAAGGAAAGGCCAGCCCACACGTGTTAAAGTCTCAGAATGTGTACAGTCGTCATTGTCGGTATTGCTACAGTACATAGGTCGATGGCCGTAAACAATAATCCAAGGTTGTTTGGCTCGATTTTCTTGCTTAGTAGCCTGCTTTAAATCGTTCTCTAACCAATTGTACTGAAAGATCAATGATTTCATGCCATAATTTAAGAAATAATAGACTTCCGTCGAAATTCCTATGAAATGTATGGGGCCCAAGTTATAACTATAGAAAAGATTCTCCCAATCGTTTGGCATACTAAAACGGTTGCGATAATGTGAGAAATTACTGGAAGGATAAAATTTTCAATTAACTTTTTTCGACTATAGATAATAAATTAACATTAGGGGAAGGAACTTACTATCTTTCTTCATGATTTCCCGGACACACCATATACGGTGTATAAGCCGCTATTGTTTCAATTTGACGCATAAATTCATCACCTACGCGACCGTTATCGCTATTCATGTCATAAGCAAAGTCACCCACATGTACGATTGCATCATACCTACCACGTTGGCTTTCTTGCTGTAAGCGTGTCAACGATTGAGCATTTTCATTACCCATATCACCGAATATAGCCACATGTGGTGCCCATCCGCTACCTTCGGGCACAGTACGAAATGCAAATTTTGCCGACCAACCCAACGAACTACCACAGTTGTATATATATTTAGCCGATGGCTTCAAGTTATTTAATGTAACCTAATAATATTACATGAAGAGTGAACTTTGTCTTCAAGAACTTTCAATGTCATCTTTACCCTATGTATATACTGAGACTTATGTTCACTGCCACCGTCTGTAAATCTTTGCCTACTTCCTCTCGCTAATCGTGTGTATTCTTCATTTTCTCCATATGCCACTAGTGAATCGCCAGGATCGTCAACCGTTGACCAAGTTACAATAATATCATGAGGTTGCTCTATATGCGCATTTGTATTCGTTTTTAAAAATTATGAAAAAGAAAACAATATTTATTCAATGTTGTAGACAAAGTCTTGAAATTATTGCATATAAAATTATAGCGAGTAAAAGGTTTCCATTATTGCTCTCTCTCTCTCTCTCTCTCTCTCTCTCTCTCTATTTGTATCACTTCTATACAATCCAAACAAAAATCTGTTTTCTTACTTATAATGATCACTTTTGCCAACTGATTTTATCGACGTTGCCTACTATTTAATTACATACAATTTACGGCATAGCAATACGAGTTCTTCGGCATTCAATTTTAAGTTAACCTCTTGCGAGGGTAGAGTGAACAGACGAAACTCTATATTCAACTTGAGCTGAAACTTGAGGAAAAGTATACAATATATATTTCCTAAGATTCGTTTACAATGAGTATATATATATATATCTGCGATATTTATAATCATCCTTGCTATGTAATTACGCAATGGATTAAAAAACGCTAATATGATTAGATATAGCGCGTAATTCTCCTATAATGGCTTATAAAGTCCGCATCAGCACACATAGCGTGTCACCGTTAGAAGAGAAAATCTATTTTGATTTCAAATCACTTTTCTCAATTGTTCTTTTAGGTGCATTTAATTTGGAGAACAATCAATATAAAATTTTACTACTTACTTACTAAGTTTATCGGAAACTCCGTCACTTTGCCCTTACTTTCTAAATGCGATTCCAATAATTGTCAAGATATTCAAGGTTCAGGATCAACAGACTTCCAATCTAATTACTAATTACTATAATAACTAATGCAATGTAAGAGCCTTTGGAAGTAATTTTAAATTTAATATATCAGAATTGCAACAATTGATCCTACACATCGCCTAACACAGCTTATAAATGTTGAATTGTGGAAACTGAGAATATTAAAACATATAAAATAAATTTATATTGCTTCAATTAATTCTCACACACGCAATGCAATGAAAGTATTGTTTGAAGACAACAATAAATCCCTTCAATACATGCCTTATTTTTGGAAGATGACATGGTCATGAAAAGAAACTTACATAAACAAGTTTCGAATAGCAATAAAATCCGTCTATAAACGGTAACAATAATATAAAAAGGTAGCACTGTACAGGTAAATATTAAGAAAATAATTGCATATCATTGACAAATTGCTTAGTATTGAAATATAAAGAGTCTGCCAATAGACTTGGAACTTGGATACGAAAAAAATTAATCCAACATCAAAGAAACACCCACAAAAATGCAATGAGAACACCGTTTTATAAAATTTTTCAACAAATTTCACATTTGTTTAAACTCATACAAGTGAAGTCTTTTCTCTCAATTGTGTTTCACTTACCCCCAAAAGATAAATGCACTTGTTCTGGTTGATAATGTACTGTTGTCAAGTTTCCCAAACTATCCTGGATTTCATTTGCCAAGACGATCTCATATATTGCAATGATTTGCAAAACACATGTTATCATTAATAAATAAAACAAATTCATTTTTCTTCTTTATTTCTTCAAGATATTCAATATTCAATATTCAAAGCGTTATTTGTGCTACTAGTGCACTAAGAAACTGCGAGTTATTTATTATCAGTTAAGAGTATTAAAAGCGTACTTCGCCCAATGTTATCGAAGAGTATTTTTACAGAGAAACGGAAAACTGAAAAAAACTAAGGAGAAACTAATGAAGAAAACCACTCAAAAAGAGTGGTTTTCATTTCCATATAAAGTCACATATAAATGTTGTGCGTTCCGAATTTAACTCAGAATACGTCGATTACTCTTTCAATTCTCAGCAAGTATTGTGAGAGGAGATTTACTTGATTACTTGGCACTATTGAGGTCTTGCTGGCGTTATTATTGTAAAATGTCGTCTTACGCTGAGAGGAGTTTGAAAAAGAGAGAAACATTAGCGAACATAATTCTCCGCTCAAAACAAACAGCTGGCGTGTTATTTATTTTATTTTATTTCACTCTTACTTGTTTTATTCTCGGCATTGTTGCGGGGCATCCATAATAAATGTGCAGCAAAGCCAGCGAAGTAAATAAAACAAACAATATTTTGGAATTTGAATTCATTTAATTTGGATGTGGATTTTTTGTCGCGGGACTTGTATACAAAATAATGTACGTTACTTTATATATTGTTATATATTATAATATTTTCACTTGAAGTTCAGCAAATTCTTGCATGTAAAAATTTTTTATCGCTTAAATCGAACTGTCAGCGTGACGTTGAGAAGTGGTGTTTATTGAAAAAAAAAGGAGTGTTTTGAGGTTTTTCATCAATAGCTTTTCCCTAGACTAGTTATCTGCTTGCAAGGAGATGGGCGACTTCAAACATATAACTCTACTGCTTTATATTCAAGTGAGAAATCATTTACTTACTTAGCTATCTGATGTGGTACTGTGTGACTGCGACACACCTTCTGAGAAGTTATCGCTCATGCTTATCTGCTCAACTCCACTCAAGCGCTTACCCAATCCAATATTAACATTAGTAAAAACAACACTAGAAACATTTAGTTGATGTTAAATTATATTTAATCGCGAATTTTATGCGCACATATATTTAATTTTTTTTTTTTACGATTTTACATTTAAAATTACTCTAAAAATTAAAAATTAGTAAACAACAAGAAAAAAACTATAACTTATCTCTTTACCATGAGTCCATCACAAAATTTTCTAAACGAGTAAAAACCTTTCTTCCAAAAGCAAAGTGACTTAATTTTATTTCTCTTTCCTATTTTACGTTTTCTTAGAAAATTACTTTTATCCTAATATCTTGCCCTCTTTTTTAATTTTTTTTTAAATTATTTAGAGTAATCGTTTGTCGGAACATATTGAAAAGTTGATTGACGAGAAATGTTTTCTAAATAAAACTGGCACAGCAAAGCTTTGCAATGCCGACCGCATTTTGCAATGAATTTTAACAGATGAGTTATAAAGCTCTTTTAACAGATTACGTGAGACATAAAGTTGGCGGCTTTGCAAATTAAACGATCTGGCAATTTAAGTTGTTAGTTGGGCACTCAACCATTAGGCAAATACAACACACCGTTGTGCTATAAATTTCCTGTATGTGCTATAAATTTCTTAACCGAAATGAGGATGGCAACAAAGTGTAGAGTTTTCACAAATCTGAAAATATTTCCTACAGCCTACATAATTTCTGCGTTTATCTCATAACAATTTAAATTGGAAATATTACTTTTCAAAAATTTTGCGATCTCAGCATTTGCTTGCTTTGCCTACGTAGTTTAAATTTGACACTTAGTGGAACTGAGACATAATGTGTAGTCTTAAACTTTATACAGTTTTGGCTGTTGTTATTAGTTCGAATAATCGTAGCTAAAACCTGACAGTACTCCTTAACGTAAACAACATATGAATATCAACTCGGATCTTTTTGTTTTAGAATTATCTCAAATGTTTCAATATTAATGGTTTAAAAGAACTACAGACTATTAAGAGCCAAATGACTGTTCAGCTCTGCTCTTATTGTGAAAAAATAATGATTATAGCAAGAAAAACTTGAAAGCGTACATTCCGAAAGCTTTCACGGAAAGATTCGGATTAATTCGTAATGTGCCTGTCGAATGTGAGGTAGATTGAAGTATCAAAATTGCTGTGTCTTATGTACCTATCAGGGCCAGCTAAAAAAGGCGACAACCAGCATTAAAATTGGTTTCAAAGGAAAAGCTCTCCCCAAATCTATCAAGCTTAACTTTTGTGACCCCCCTGTGAATTACTTTGTATCCACCTTAAAACAATGCTTTAAGTTGGCAGATATAGGCATGTGTCGACGTTTTGCAAAGCCAAGAAAAGCAGGTGGCGCAATTGTGGTAAGTCCCCTAAGTGTATCGAAAACTGCGAAACAATGGGGTATCTGTCCTGTAGTTCAAGTTCAAGTGAACACGACATTTTAAACTAGTCTTGCCCAAACAGATCGCTCCCTAAGTTGTCCATAACAAGATATCAGCGGCCAGTGATTTCGAATTACGATTTGCATTCTGCGGAACTTGATAGATTAATTTTTGCCATTGCATGCAATTAATAACTGCTGCTCTATTAATTTTATACGCTTAGACTTGCGATGTATCATTTCTAAAGCAGGTAAACTTAAACTTAGTGATGTAAGACTTGAAGGATTTAAGCAACTTCTGATCCATTTCGCTACTATCTGTATTCATAAAGATTATCACCGTCATGGTCAAGAGACTAATGGATTTGTTAGCGTCAGTGCAACGTTTTGAAAATTCTTTCAAACACAAACGTAACTTATTTTTATGTTTACTGGATATGCTAATGCCATCGAAAACATTTCACAAAAAGACAGCAGGGAGGTTCATGATTGCACGTTTTAAATCATTTCGCAGGCGATTTGGGTACAATTACTTAGTCTGTCGCCTAAAACAGGAGACCATCCATCCATCGTCTAGCAAATAGTAATTTTACTATTAATTAATTAATTTTATGATATGATTATATGATATATGATGAATAAAAAAAACATATCTTAACACATGTTTGCATATAAAATAGTTTATAGAGCAAATCATATTTCGACCTCATTTAAATGTAAATGCGCTTCAACAAAAAACCATACACTTACGTGGAAACTCTAGATTTTAACAGAAAACTGCGAACAGATGAATAAAACTTCTGTAAAACTACAGCTGAGTGGTGGCATGGTATTATGGGTGGTATTAAAGAAACTACTGTTTTTTCTGATGGCAAAAAATGTACGTCACCTCAAGGAACTAACTTGCTTCCTTAGAAAAGCGAATCTATCTTTTTAATTCATGATAAATTTTGTTCTTTTTTTTTACTTCCAATCATATTTTCTGTCCATAACATTCTTTCAGCCAAAGTTGTCAACACTTGTTTTTTTTTCACCACTTTCAACCATTCAACAATCCACAATTTTACTCAACAGGCTTTAGTTATTACGGCCGCATTTTTTTTTTTTTTGTTGTGTTTTATATATATATTTCGTGCTAATATTTACTACGGACATATAAGCCACAAATCTATTGGCTTAGTCCATCTCTGTTCAACATACCAAAAAAAAAAAAAAAAAATATTTACTACTGTTTATTAACTGGACATAGTAGCCACTAATTTTATTGGATTGGTCCATATTAACTCAACATCCAAAAAATACAAATTTTGGAAAAGAAGGTTCCAGAATATGGCCGCTGAAGCAAGTTCATCGTCACCTTTAGGGACGCAAAATGGTCCATATTCGACACCAATATGTATGATTGTTTTGGGTATGGCCGGTTCTGGGAAAACCACGTTCGTACAGAAGCTAACGCAAATCTCATTTGAGGATCGTAACCCGTACGTGATTAATCTAGATCCTGCGTGTCGTGAGACTCCATATCATGCCAATATTGATATACGGGACACTGTCAACTATAAAGAAGTTATGAAGCAATACAAACTGGGTCCGAATGGCGGTATAGTTACATCACTAAACTTGTTTGCTACCAAATTTGAAAAAGTAATTGAATTAATTAAACGCGCTGGACAACAAGGTCATGAATGGTGTATTATCGATACTCCTGGACAAATAGAAGTTTTTACTTGGTCCGCATCGGGTACCATAATAACTGAAGCTTTGGCTACTATGTTTCCTACGATAGTTGTATATGTAATGGATGTGGTACGCTCCGTAAGCCCCACCACATTTATGTCCAACATGTTGTATGCTTGTTCAATACTATACAAAGCAAGATTGCCTTTCATTGTGACCATGAATAAGGTAAAACTCTACTTAGTTATAGAGATGTATAAATTATAAAATATTTTATTTTAACTTCTTATTTTAGATAGATGCTATGGATCATGATTTTGCTGTCGAATGGATGACAGATTTTGAAGTTTTTCAAGAAGCTTTAGAATCTGAACAAACTTATATAAGCAATTTAACGAGAACCATGTCATTAACTTTAGATGAGTTTTACAAAGATTTGAAAACCTGCGGTGTTTCAGCCAAAACTGGTGTGGGATTTTCACGTTTCTTTGCGTTAATAGCCGAAGGGGCTAAAGAATATGAAAGGTAAAAATTTTTATAAACCTAATATTGCTTTTAATATGCCATTTAATTTCAAATTAATGTTTTAAGTGATTATAAAGCTGAATATAATAAATTACGCGAGCAAAAGTTAAAAGAACAAAAAAAGCAAAAAGAAGATGAACTCAAAGCAATAGCTAAAAGCAAAGGTTCCGGTGAAGAAGTTGCCTTGGCACAATTTATAGAGGAGGTACACTGGAAGATTACTTATAAAATGCAATTATGTCGTCATTTCCTTATTAGGTGTCTGTCGGCCGTGAACTAAGTGATATTTATTTAAAACATCCAGGCAATGAAAGTTCTGAAGATGAAGAAGGAGAAGAAGCTGAAGCACCCACCTTTAACGAAGACCATGTCGAAGAACAAAATTTCCAACAATTTGTACAACAGCATAAAAACAAACAATGTCGCATTGATAAGCAATAAAACGTACAGAAAAGTGTTTATTTTTAAATAAATGTAATTGTTTATTAAATAAACTTGGGCTTCTCTTGTGATTGGTGGCATTTTGCAAGCAAATTTTTTTATATGTAAGAATTTCTCTTAAGGATTACAGTAAAAGTAAATGAATACTTCTTGTATGGAATGAAAAGTTTCTCTCAGTGTCCTCAGCATGACGGCTTTGAAGGCTTAAAAACTAATTATGTAGCGTTAATAATTTATTAAATATGTTTATATAATAAGCATTTTTTCAAATATTATTTTTCACGTAAGAAGCTGAGCTAAACTAAATTTTTATATATGTATATCTATTGTTTTTTGTATAAATATTTATTATTCTTATCAAATTAGTTAACCATTTATCATTTATGTTTTTCTTAGGTGTTTATATGCAGTTGTTATTATGTGTATATATATACGCGTTAACAAGCTAAAAAATATTTAGAGGCTTTTTTGTATTTTTTTCCTTTTTAAATAAATTTGTAAAATTATTGTTTCAATATTTATGCGATTTATGCAAATTATTTTTAAAGATCGTAAATTAATATAAGTCAAATAGTTGATATATCTGCCTTTATAATTAAAAAATGTGGTTTCTGGCAATGCTGTTTAATATTAAAACCTGCTTTTTTCACAAACACTTTCTCTCGTAAATGTCTTGTTTTGAAATAATTCCATCAAATAAAACTATCAAACTTTAATGGAAAAATTTTACCAAATATGTTGATATAGAATTTAAAATTAAAAACAAAAAATCCTCTTTGCTTTTAAGAAAAAATAAAAATATCAGTCAATGCAATCGTATTTGTGAAGGTGTTCTAAACAAAAGAGAACAAGCCCAGCGATATTGTTATTGCTTTAAACAGCATTTTCCGGTAATTTCAAAAGAGTAGTTCTTAATATAACGAACACGCCCTGGACGAGTATTTTTATTTTAGAGTTTAAAACAAAAAAAATGTTTTTTATATAAAAGTAATTTACAAAAATATATATAAAAAAATTGATGAAATAAACTGTGTTTTTGTAATGTCTTTCGAACAGATAATATCAAGCTATTTTTTGCTGTCAAGCACATTATACTCTTAAATTTATCTGTTTAGATTTGTAAAATATGCTTGTATATAAAACCACAAAACTTGGGCCGGATATTTTTTGTTTTTTTTTTTGAAATTCCTATCAAATATTCCAAGAATTTCTAATAATACATTTTAGTATTTTATTAGTAAAACGCACTTAACTTAATAAGTGTAACTTGCAATATTAAGAAAGGCTTATGAAAAAATGTCTCGCATTAAATTCCTTTTTAATCACTGCTTTGCTTAAGCTATAGTTTGCAAACACATATATAAATATTGGCTTTCTGTTTGTTTAATACCCACCACTGGCGATATGTCCACCGAAGTCAATATTCGTTTTAGTCTCATCCGTTTTTCGAACCGTTTTTTAAAATACCGATAATTTCAAAATTTCCTCTAGAGTATATAAAAATCCTATTTCCAATCATATCTTACATGAAGAGGGGAAACAAGTGAAATCGGTTTATTACAATTCAAAAGTTGGAAAGTTAATCTTCATTAATGTTTGCGTTATTACATTATGCGCACGCTTTTAGGTTATGTTATCTCTAATACATATAATTTGCTGTATATAGTTTATTGCTTTTGAAGAGCAATGCTGCTGCAAAAGTATTATTTTACAATGAAAATAGGCCATACTCTTGCATGTTGCGTAATATTAAAGTTTTCATGAAATGTATATATGTTTGACAATTAAATTCTTTCAATATATTCAACCGAGTGGTGGGTATAAAGAAAAAAATATTCGATCTAAACCGAAATAAGCCTTTTGGTATATTTTCAGTTTTTTTTTTCTTAAGTAAGTAATTGTGCTTTTCATATATTAAATACACACATATATATACTTAGTTTAAAATATCGAAAGCAATTTTTTTTGCGGGCGTACTTTATTCTCTAATATTAAAAAATGACTTCTATGAAAATTATCAAAACAAAAAAAAATTTTTTTAAATAAAAAAATCTCTTCCGAACTAAATTACAAAGGGGAAAAACCTTTTAACTCAGAAATCTATTTTTTTTTAAGTTATGTTTTTATTTTTAGTACAGTACTAACTACTCTTTGCTACACACTACCAAATCACACTGTTACAAAAATAGTTTTATTTTTTCTCTCTTTTTTTTTCTCTAGTACTCTGGTATGCGGTTATTACGACCCTAAGTTGTTTACCATGCTATAAAATAAAAGCAGTACGTTAAACGATTATTGGATCACTTTAATTTTTGTTTGTTTGTTTGGTTTTTTTCTCTTATTTCTTTTGCTTTTAAAAACAATTATTAACAAAAAAATATATATATATTTGACGAAAAAAAAGAAAAGAAGATTAAGTTAAAGTTTTTAGAAAGCTAAATTTCATGTATTATTATATTGAGCTATAGTTTTTTCTAAAAAAAGAAATAAATAAAATACAGCATTCGCCATAGAACGAATAATGATCATCTCAAATCGATATATGTATATGTATACATAATTCATGGAATTCTTTTTGGGGGGTTTGTCAGAGATCTATGCCAAGAACAAGTCCGCAACCATCCGTGTTTTGAAGAAGCAGATTCAATGTTGCGTCAACGAAATTCAGCCGCATTTACGCGAAATGATTCTGGAGTTGTCAGCAATGCCGTGGAGGCAATCTGCCCGAAATGCTATTCTATACATAACTCTATCTTATGTACATTATGCTTTAATTAAAAAAAAAAAAAATAATAATAATAAATCTGTTTTCTGCTTTATTCAAATCTTGCGCAAATTTTGGGAAAGAGTTCCAAGAGTTCATTGCGGATATGTTGGCCTTATGAAGCCATTCTAGCAAATTCCATAGCTATGGGTATTTGCAATGGTTTTATAGTCTACGTTATTGACAATAAGATTTTCGTACATATTTCAAGTTAGGTTGATCAGATCAATCCCCCTTTTCGATTTCCGATTTACGACTTTCCAAACTTTTGATGGTCTTGAAAAGGGCATAAAAGAACGATTCGATGAAATGTAATTTTATTAAAAAGCCGATCGGTATTGTATGGACATATTAATTACCATCGCCGGATATATTTTGTAATATATATTTATTTACTTTTTTTTGTTTTAGTGAACTTAAATAAAACTAAGAGCATAAATGGTAAGTTTCGGGCAGACGGACGGACGCGTATAAATCTTACATTACACGATTACACGAAAAAAAAAATAAAAACGCCAATTTGAAATATATATATGTATACACATGAATCACTAATAATACTTTTAGTAAGAAACAGTCTTTCTTTTTGCAATAATTTTTTTTTTTTTTTTTCATTTAAAAAAAAAACTTAAAAACCATTAAAGTATATAAATATTCTACAAATTATATTATTATTTAAAGTTTTCCATTTCCATTCTCTTTATTAGTGCTTTCTAATTAAAGCTGCTTTTAATGAGCGATTTGGTTTTCATAAATAGGCGCTTTTTTTTTTTTTTAGTTTTGTAAATGTCTGTAACTTTGTTTACATAAAATAACTTGGTTTTTTTCTTGTTTTTTCTTGCTTTAACTTTAAATAAGATCTTATCGCTAAATTAGAAAATTTACGGTCGAAGGTTAGGTAGCTTTTTTTCGCAATTTGTTTTAAGAGGTGTTTTTTTTTTTTATTTATTTTTTTTCTGCATATATATACGAAAGCAGCATATACTAGCATTATTTGAAATAACCGCTATCGGTGTATAAGTTTATATAGGCGGACTGACAAGTTGAGAAAAATTTTCCGTTTACACTCTTGGGACCGTAAAAAATCTGCATTTTGTCTCTGTTATTTTCTTTTATTATTTTTTTTTAAAGCATTAATTTAAAAATTTATTGACTTAAAAATAAGAGTTTTTCGAAATTTTATCTGTGGGTGAATTGTTTTACGGATTGCATTCAATGATGGGGATTTGAATGGTTTCTATTATGGAAACTTTTATTCTAATCTTCATCAGATAGGTTGTTGTTTGTTAAAAGTGTAGCATTATCCTCGTTGCCGTGTTCTTCGACATCCTGCAAAAGATATAGAAAATGAAGAAAGAATCAAGTAATTAGTTATATTCGCTTGAACTCTCTCACTAATATAAAATATCCCTTTTGCTTGGAATTCTATAGAGCAATATTCTATAGAGCAATGTATTGAACCGGTGAACCGGCATCGACGCTTCGGTGAAATCTAAAATCTAAAAGGCCGGCATGACTTGACCAAAGTTCTATTTAATTGTTTATTTATTTAAGATAACATTGTCTAAATTTCATTAGTAATGAAAAACTAAGTTGGTTTTGGCGATCGCTTGACTGGCTGCTTCCTTCTAAGCCAGCGACATCGGCGTTCATCGGTACCGCTTGCTTTAGTGGTTCGATGATACATAATTTTTTATGAGACGTTCACTTTTTTTAAAGGTTAGAATTCGTTCCACTGCACTCGTGAGATTATTAGTATTTCGTAACCATACACGGTCTGATTTGACCGGCCAGAGCGAAAAGAAACTTGAAGAATTTGGACGTGCGACAAGAATTCCCGATAACGGTATTCTTTTCATACATGGTTCACATACCTTTACGAAAAGTGGACCACGGAATGCATTAACAATTCATGTTTTTCCCTTTCATATATGAATAGTAGTTAGACTTCAGGGGGATTGCCTATCCAGCGGTCGGATAAATACGTGTAAACAGTATCACACGAAATATTGTTGCAATATTATACGAAACCGCCCACTTGACTTGAGATGGATCCACGTTTTAATCTATCGATCGATTCGCAATAACTTCCGTGTTGGTTTGTTCTGTTCAACTTAAAGGCCTCAAATTTTTGCGATGTTTTGATGAATATTTCGTACACGTCCGTGTTCTGGTTCAAGGACGGAAGCTATTGCAAATAGTTCGGATCGTACCTTTTCGATCCTCTCCCATATAACGTCTTACTTTGAAAAGTCATTAATTTAATACATGTCGGATGGTGTAGGGTATTTAAGAATATGTTTGCTTTACCTTTCTTAAAAGATCAATTTTTCGACAGTAATCTAGTAAACAAATTCTTGTTGATGCTGAGTTACGACCTCAATTTTCAGACAATAGATGTTGATTTCGTTGAGGCAATAACTTATGTTTATGGTATTCGAATATTTTTGACCTGCTGCGAAAAGAAGTAAACGGGCCGCATGGATTGAGATATATGCTAATGTGGCTAGAATGTAGCGGCTGCACTGATGGACAAATGTCTTCTTTATTGTCTTATCCAAATGTAGCTGAATGTTGTCATGTTGGAAAATCGCATCACAGCATCTTTGCTTAACGACGGAATGTATTCCTTTAACCTTATGCCTAATTGTTTCTTATGTATTTTGTCGGAAATAGTTTATATAAATTTATTGAAGAGATTTTGGCCTCGATGCTGTTCTGAAATTCGATCGCTCAGTTTAAACTGATATCTGGTATCAGTCGAATCAGAACTTTAATCAATTCTGATTGGGCATTTTTGACGATTAGATCGCCATATTCGCCAGGCGTTCACAAAGCAGCAATCAAAGATTCATTTCGAAATATTTTGATTTTAAAACTTTCATCAAATTAGGTTGTGGACAGACGGATCGCTGCATTGACATAATTAAACCCATTGAAATACTTCCTGTTAACGTATGTAACATACTCAACTTGAATTTAGTTTACTTACTGTACTGACGCATGTTATATGCCTAATATTTTCTTTCCTTTCATTTACAGTATAAACACTTTTGATGAAAAAGAAAAAAAAAAAAAAACGTTTTTCTCATCATAACATTTCAAATTACTTCTTTTATAAAAATAGGTTTTTATTTTTTCTTCCATTTTTAAAAAATAGTTCGTTTTGTGAAAAATTTCCCTTCTTACAGCATACTCTTAATATAAAAAAAAAATTAATATATATATATATATGTATGTGTGTATACATATATACATACATATATATATATATACATACATATATATATATATACATACATATACATGTGTGTATACATATATACATACATATATATATACGTATATATATATGGAAAAAAAAAGCTCAAGTTTCACTTGAAAAATGCTTATTTTATAGCAGTGCCATAGAATAATTTTTACATTAATATAAAAAAAAATATACATATATATATTCAGTTACTATAGTATTATTATAAATGTCGATACGAATAAAGAAAAGAAAAAAAAACGCGTAGATCGTTTTTCCTAACGATATCCGGTAAATCTAACATAAGCGATTACCAAAAAGTGTAACCTATGGAATCCAAATGTCAGTGTGTGTGTGTGTGTTTGTGTGTTTATTGGAACATATATTAAGGAATTTGTTTTTTGTTTTATATTTTTTCCACTTTGTTTTATGCGCTTACTAGAATTTAGTAATTATTTTTGTTATTATTTGTGTGTATGTATATAAAAAAATATATTTCTTGTGATATTTTTGCTTATTAAAAAAAAAAAGAAAAACATGTAAATTACACATTAATCAGAAAAATTTTTCTTTACACTTAATTATAGTTTAAAAAGCAAAAAACAGTTACATTTTTTTTTTTTGTTTGTTTTTTAAATAATCATTTTAATAATAAATCCTTGGAAGCGTTGAGAATGTTGTGAAGAAGAATCAATTTGAACGGAAGTTTTATATGCGCGACAACACAGCATCATGATCATCATCATCATCAGTAAACAAGAAAAGAAAGAAAGAAGAAACAAGAGCTTGAACATTATGGCTCGGAAGTTGAAGAAAGCCAGAATATAAATGCATTCCATTGCTGTTGTTGTCTCCTCTTAGAGAAAGTTGTGCTAATATAGTGATTGGATTTTATTTGACCTTAGCCTTAGGAGCATTGGGAGATTGATCAGCTTCCGGTAGATCAGATTCCCGTTTACGTTTCGCTTTCTCCTTGGTAGCTTTCGTTTTCTTTTGTGATGCCTGCTGTTTGGCCAATTGTTGAGCCTCACGTTTCGCTTTTAATTGCTCGGTAATAAATGAAAATATTAAATAGCCTTGCAAGGCCATTAGGCCAATCAATGCCATAAAACCACGTAATTTACTAGACGTAGTAGCTACTACCCCATAATACAAGGTCAAGACTCCAATGACCATAGTTGTAAAGCGTACGAATACGAAAACAGCACTGTTCACTATACGTGTACTTGCCAATTTCTCGTCACGATCAAACACGCCAATCAACTGAAAAATGTGAGTTACAATTTCACTTAAGTAATGCAACGTTAAAAGCACTAATGCGATGCGCTGAAAGCCGAATGTGTAGGCCAAGCAGATGACCGAGAAACCGCATACCGCATGCACTATTTTCGGTTGTTGGTCCTCTTTTTTAACTTTCTGAAAATATAGTTCCGGTAGCATGTGCAGGTAATAGGAGAGTTGTATAATAAAATAGAATTTGTGCAAGAATGTCATGGGATGCTGTGGGAAATCATCCCATAGTAATGAGAATTTCGTAAAATATCCTTCACGCATTATGATATTAGCACCCCATAGGAACGACATCACATAAAAGGTCACCAATTGACCGGACTCGTTGAATAGCGACAGCTTGTATTTTGATAAATGCAGTTTTTTAGAAATTTTATCTAAAATAAATTCTTGGATGATGGCATGCATGATTATGCAGGTTAATGTGTAAAAGAAAATCGCACAATAATCCTTAATGCCGGCAATATAAGTGAATGGTTTACCCATGGGCTGTTCACGACTTGGTTCTTCACCGGTTACATTATGATGCAGCGAGATAAATGCACTGGCAAAAGGCGAGGTAGATTCATCCATTAGACATAAAACGAAAACCATGGCCACACAGGATATAATGTCGGCATGATTTTGTATAACAAATTCGTGCGATAATATAGGAGGATTTTTACTACTTGTCTTGCGGCCCATACCCGGTTTAATAGCCATTGCTGTCGATGTTGTCGTTGTCGCCGTTTTTGTGTGTTATAGTTTTTATACAAAAAAACACTTTTTCCAAAGAAATCTTATTGCACTGCACTCCTTTTCTTAGCTTATAAATTGCGAAAATGACTTGATGTGTTATGGATTCCTACACTTTCTCTATGTTTGAACGTTGGCAGTCGTAGTTTTTTCTTTTTTTTTTCTGCTCACCAACGTCCGTCGTAATGCTAAAACAACGTACACGTCAAAATGCGATTAGCGAAATATATGCCAGAAAAATTGCCACGCAGCAAAAACGACAGTTCAAGTGCAGACTCTCTTGAATCTCAATTCTCAGTTCTCATCCTCTTGCTTCCGTACTCTCGTCAAAATCAAGCTCATTTACGTCATTGTATTCATCTCTTAAATCTTCAGCGTTTACTCTCCTTTTATTTTATTCCTTTTTGACATTGCGCCCGGTCGAGTAGAATGAAATTTACCGTTAATTTTGTTTACATTTAATTCTTGTTCCGAATTCACTGCGTCTTCTTTTCTTTTTTAAAAATTTATTTCAATGATATGATAATTTGATCTATTGCACGCACCAACACTTTTGTACTTTTAAAATGAATTAAAAGCATTCAGAGTAAAATAGTCAAAAAAGGTTGCCAATGTTTTTAAATAATAATAATTGGGTATTTTTTTTTAAAACTCATCCCTGAACGATGAGGAAAATGACGGTTAAAATATTTTAATAAATTCGATTTAATGGATTTACTTTGATTTGAGAATGATTTTTTTTTCTCCAAGTTTATATAAAAAAAATTTAAAAAATTATTAATTTGCAGGTTTTCACATACGAAACTATATATAAAATAAGGGAGATAATTTATCTATGAAAAAGTGTTAAGAAGTTTAAAAGTTTTATAATGATTTCACAACTCATGTAAGGAAACCCCAACAAGTCAAGACAATATAGCATAAATATTATTGGTTAAGAGGAGACGGCCACGTGAACTTTATCGAAGTAATTGGTTAAATCATTTCGATTCCATTCATTATGTAAAAGCTAAGATTGTTAGACCTTTGTTAGGTGTAAGTTCTTTCTAAATTAAAGTTTGATGTCCTGCGCGTTCTTGCTTAACCCTGGTTCTAACATATATATGAAGTATTTTACGTTGAGTAGAAATTGAAAAAAATTGACATTTGCGCGGACTTGTTACGAAAGTATTTATGGAAATTTGTGATACATGTACAACGTCGCAAAATATCTGCATTTTTGTTATATTAATGAGTTTCTTAATGCGGATAATGCAAATATTATAAGCGAAGTCAAAAAATGATATATAGTGAAGTTGGAAATGACGTTCGCAATTTCGTTATGAGGATTAGATATTACTTCTACTGTTCGATTAATTACATTATTCTCACCGTTCCAGTTAAAGTTTAATGCTGTCTGAATGATCTGACAATCAATTAAATTTTAACTAATATCGAGATTTTAATTAAATATGAGACATCTTTCTATTTACGAGACGTTTAGCTTCTGATACTGATATTCGAGATTCAAGATGCCGGATCTATATATACTTTGAGCTAAGGTGGAATATTGACATGTAATAAAATCCGCGGAGAAACGCTTAATAGATTAGTAAGAAAGTACTTTTTTTTATCCAATTACGTTTCATATAAAATTCGAAGGTGTTTAGAAGGCAATTGGATAATTCTATTTTTGGGAATCTTTAAAAGCAACTCGCAAATTTATTTAATTAGAATAAGAGTTGCCGTAGTTTGTAAGAAAAACTTGAAAAGCATCCAAAATGCATTACTTACATTGCGATTGCGCTTTCGAACGTTGTTAACGATAGTGCGTTTGTTGCGGGCAACCAAACATACAGTTATAATTAAAATGACTCCAATTAAAGCGAAGCCCAGTAGAGCGGGCAATAAAACACTATCCTCTGCTTTATAGCCCTTAAAAAAGATAAAACAATATTTATCAGGATTAAGAATAATTGTCAAATTCACATCCTTAAAGCTTACATTCCATTGAAAATACGTGGATGGATCTATATAAGGCCAATGATCTTGTATCCAATCTGCTGTAGTTTTGTTACGTTTTGCCGGTAAATTCATTTTCAAAGTCGCTTCCGTAGAATGGACAGGATTTATATTAGCTTTTTCGGTAGTAGTGGGGAATAATTTTGAATAATTTTTCACTAAAACGGGCGGTATACCCGGTTTTCTCGCGGTACCCTTCAGTAGCGGAACCTGTATGGAGCGTGCGCCTGCCGTGGTAGGATACAGAATATTTTTGAGCTGATATGAATTTACCGTAGCAGTTGCGGGTGAAATGATAGCCGAGAATCCTTCAGCATTGCCAGGAATGACATGAGCTGAAGTTGTTGTCTGTGCTTTTGCATTGATGATGTCTTTGCTATTTTCTTTACTACTGATCTCTTGGGTGGTTGCCGTCTTTGTTGTGGTGCTGACCACTTGTTCGATATTCGCTAAATGTGTTATCGTTATTGATGATGGTAATTCCTTTTTTCCTTTAATTTCGTTATTAGTTCCATTGTTTGTTTCATTTTGTAGATCGGTTGCTGTGTTATTATTATTGTAGTTTTTGTTGTTGTCCGGTAATATGGTTTTATTAACTTTCAAAATAATTTTCTCTATCCCATCCTGATTAATAATTTTTACAGTTTTACCCACATTTATAGAACTACTGGTAATAATATTTCCCTTGTTAATCGAGGCGAAATTACTTAAATGATTGTTGTTATTGCTCTGGCCTTTCCCAACATGTGAATTATTGGAGGTAGACGAGTGTTTAGTGAATGCTGCCTTAGTTTTTAAAAACCATTGCGTTGGATCGGGTAGACATTCTGCTGATACCAGAAACGGTATTAGTACAGCACCCACTATAACGGTGCACACGAATATCACTCCCAAATAGGCGAAAAATGAACGACGCTTCGGCTTCTTGGCTCTGGCCTTTTTCCCACCAGATACTGATTTAATTTTTCCCTCCAAGCGAAAATCATCATTTTGTGGTAATATCGTGTACTGTAGGCTGTTCTCGCCGTGCCTTATGGTCTTATACATATTTTTCGAGTTTTTTCCCATCCAAACTTTTAAAATTTCCGTATTGCTAATAAATTAAATCCAACTATAACCATATGTGTTCTCATATACTCTGTGCAATTCTATTCTATGCTACTGATATCGTAGTTCTGAGCAATCAATCGCTTCTATACGATTGGTATTAAATATATATGTAGTTCTCTACTTGTTTATTTTCTTTCTTTTTTATTATTGATTTAACACCAAAATTTGTGCTTTTTTTTGTATATTTTCGTTTTTTAAAGCACGTAAAGTTTAATGAGTTTTCCGTGTTCGGTCACAGACACATCATACACATGCATGAGTAAGATTTTTCTTTGTTGTTGTAACTGCTTTTTTCTTTTCGTTTTTTGCAAAACACTTTGGAAAACTAGGGTAGGCTTGGCTATCCTTGATCATAATGTTTCTAATAAGACGCTTAGCCAAAAAAAAAAAAAAAGAAAAAAAAAGAAAAAAAAAACAAATAAAAAGAACTTAATTATAAATAAGATCTGTGTTCTATTGCCCCTAGTTCTGATTAGTTTTCTATTTTTGAACCTTATTATTAAATATATTCGCTTAACTTTTGCGCTGATTCTAAGCCATTTTTAGACAAATTCATTTTATCTTTTGAATATTACTTTTTTTTTTGCATTGTTCACTTTTCAATTTTTTTTTTTAACAAGAAAATTTTTTGTTTTCATTAAATTTTCTTTAACTAATATGTTTGCTTATTTTTCTTTCAATAGCTTCTTTTTTAAATTATCCTATTTTCCTTTCCGTATACATTGAAAAGGAGTCACTTTCACTACATCCGTTTTTATTTCTTTGTGCTTATTGATAAATCAATAAAAAAGACCTGTAGTTCGTTTGCGAAATTTCTCTTAAATGTTTTCAGTTTACAGTTGGTTTTGTTGGTTTTCATTCTACTTTGTTTGTCCCCAGTTTATTATTTTAAGTCTGGCAACGTCGCAGATTTCAAAAGGTTTTTCACCGTTCCCCTGACGTACGAAAAAAACGAGTATAGGCAACACTTTTTCAAGTCATGAGAGAATTGCCAAGACAATAACGTCTCACGAAGTGTACTTTTCGGGATAAATAATGAAAAGAAAGATGTCGATGAGGCGAACGGCAATACTTTTTAAATATAATATTTTACGAATTGATAGTTTAATCGTTGCAAATACGTTTCAACCGTTGTAAATGGATTTTAATCGTTACAAAATCGCTGTATTCTAACAGGAAAGTAAATTTTACTCATGAAAATGAAAAGTAAGTAACAAACACATACATACAGTCTTAAAAAATTTTAAAGATCTGAAAATAGTATAACCAAAACATAATATATTAAAGAAGTATATAAATAAATGATTTTGTGTTTTGTGAATACATAATAATTCTAACATCTTTTCAATTTTTAATATTTTTTATGTTAATGATAATAATTCAATTTTGACTTTTATGATATTAATAATAATGATAATATAATTTTATTTCATTCTAAACGATTAGTGCGTTTAGAATTTTTTATCTTGAAAATTTCCCACCAATTTAATGAAACAGTGTCTGTGAAGATTCTCCGTTCATAGTTCGACACCGGAAGCTCGGAGTAAGGGAAACGATTATGGGTTTTTAATTTGGACAATGAAATGGGGAAAAAATAACCGAGAGCCTACAAGTGACGAATGGAAAAGGACTTTCGGATCGGACGTGTATCTATTGGAAGAAGATTATCAAATAAATGGTCCGGATATCAAAGGCGACACTTGGGTTGAAGAAAACAACGCTAATGTTATAAGCGAGGATAAAGCGGTAACGTAGTAGTAGTCTATAGCGAAGCAAGGGGAACAAAAGACACTATCTATGTGAGTACCTTAAAGCAAATATACGCTATGAAAAAATTGTTGACATTTATGACGAAAAGAGGTTTTACTTTATTTACTCTCAGTTAATAATCCTCTTACTTGTTAATGTTTTGTCGTGTTTTATGTACGCTGTCATGATTCGCTCCCTTTCGAAGTCTGGCGATCACATGTTTCATCGATTGCTTATATCAACCGCACGAAAAGACATTTAAGCCACATATACGACTTAACACGTAAACCATGCAGTACATAGGTATCGCATTATTCACATTGAAGCAATGATGCCAACAAGATGGTACTATAATGCATTGTTTTTATATCGTTTTGTCCCTCCACCTGTAGCTTGTTTGGACAAACAAAGGGATTGAACCTGTAAGCAAAAAGAGTGACATTTTAATCATTCCCACGAGTGTTGTAAGGGACATAGTGGTGTGATTCGCTATAAAGACACGGCGACGGATTAGGGTTAAAACAAGAAGAGCTAATCTGTTTATATATTTTTGCATTCAATCCACAATCTGGTACAAAAACGGGACATAATGAAAATGGGTTAGCATTTTTCAAAATTTCTCGACAGTAGTCGATGTTCTATTTCGATATTCTAAATTGATATGAAAAATTTTGATTAGGCGGTGGCAGTTTTTCAAATCCCCTTTGAAGAACTGAATCTCTATATAGGCTAATTTTCAATATTTCAATATATACCATTGCATATAACGATTCCCATGGAACATAATCCCTTATATGCCACAAAGTCTTAATTTTTAATGTAATGTAGTAATTTCACATAACAAATTAAGTGGACCAAATTGGAACTATATAGAACCTGGCTTGGACCTCACTCCATGTAAGATTTCTTATAGGTGGTAAGCGTTTTAGAAAAGCTTTGGGCCTTTGTAGCAATTTAGCAGAAAAATTGGCGGTAGGGAATCCACACCGCATAGGCTTGTTTTTTAAACTCTAACACATATACGGATGAGATCACATGAAAAGCACACCCTTTTGAATAGAGAAAGTCCAATTAAAATTTTGCAATATTCATAGTCTTGCACATCAACGTGGAACAAACTTTTTGCTCTCTCTCACTCTCTCTGTCACATGTTGTTATTTACATTTCGGGTCTTGAAGTGTGACATGATAATTCCGCTGCGCAAATGAGAGTTGGTAGAGAAACGTTTCGTACTTTAGTTATGCAATGTTTTTCTTCAAGCTTTACAACAATGTATTATATATGCATTCTTACATATACATTGAGCTTTATGCAACAATATTGAACTGTTATATAGTGACCTGTGGCTGCGTAACGTTATTTAAAATTATCCTGCTGATTTATAATTAAAAATAAAAGATTTGGAATTCGAATATTTCTTCTAAACGAATTTAAATTTGAACTATCGTAAAGTATTTTGCAATCGCTTTTGAAATTTTAAGCATCTAGAGTGCACTTTAAAACTATTCACACATAAGTACTTATGTGTTACATACTTGAGAAACAGAAACCACTTTTCAAATGTAGGTGTATTTACATGTATACATGTGTGCATATGCATAAATACGCGTATAGGCAAACGTTTTGTCAACAACTTAACTAAATCGAGCTGCTCTGGATTCCAAACAAAAGAAAAATAACATTGACAAAGCTATCAAAATGTTTAGCGTTTCGCTATTGGAAAAATTAGTTCATGTATTTTTTTTTTTATTTTTTTTATTTTGTTAACCCGGATCGACTAAACATAATTAAACATATGAACAGAGCAAATATTTGCGCAACAACACACAACGCAAAATAAAAACATCGAAAGTATGTTGAGAGTTTCTCGATATACTATAATAAATAACTGCAGAGATATATATATGTATAGAACAAAAGTATAACATTATCGATCGAATTATTATTATTGTTATTATCATATATATAGTGTTGATGTCGTTTAATTTTTTGCTGAGAATCATTTGAGTGCAATATTTTGTCCAGGGTTTTCAAGTAATAATTGAGTGGACTTGAAATGTGACGAACTTTCAAATCCGGCTCTGTCAACCGCGGTTCGGAAGACTTAAGTTCAATTCCTGGCATAATATACCTATACTTTACTCGTAATAGATGTACTAACTGATAATAATGATGATATGAGTAATGATCGGCAAAATTATATTCTTTTATATCCCTCGTCTTTTATGAGTAATGAGTGAGAAACTCAATTTTTTTGGGCTTTCAAAGCAGAAATATTTTCACGTTACGTTCTATTGCGGGTATGTTCGTCAAGCGATTTCGATCATTTTCAATCCAAACTTGTATCGAGGAATCTTTAATGTTCATGTCAAATTTGAATCAGGATCAGGAGAATGTTCATCGCGGACTTTACACAGACAAGTAGGCGGACAGATGGAAATATGAAAATAGATCAAGAAATTGATTTACTGCTCAAGAACGTACTACATATACACACTTTTTGTGGGATCTTTGAAGTCTTCTTTTGAATAATAACAACAATAATAATATAAACTTTGTTTCAGTTCGTAGATCTTATAGAAGCAATATGACACAGCGTTTGCTGTCTCGAAAAGGTATGCATAGATTCTCAAAGTACCTTTAGCCCAAATTTTTGCCATTTTTCTTGATTGGGAACTTCCTTTCCAAGATACGAGGACTTTTTTTAATGGATAGCTGTTATTACTTGTCGCATATGCAAAAATTCTTCAGATATTCTTCAGTGTTAAGGATCAGCAAGGAGCTAGTGTTTAAGTAAATGTTTTATCGATTATTTCCGAAAAATCTCTAAATGGCTGTACATCCGTTCCGGGGTGATCGTGAGTGCTCTTCTTCTCGAATTTCGATTACCTGCATAAAATAATATGCCGATACTTCTTGTAGTGCGTGTGCAATGAGTGGTAAATAATCGAATAACTCCCACATGATTGCATCCTAGTTAGAACATTTCTCGACAAGTATGATGCGCATAAAGATTGATTTCCAAAGTGCACATTCCTAAGCGTAATAATACATTTTACGATTGTGAGTCATATCGCGGCATAATAACACACATTTTGAGAAAAGGGGGATAATTTGAACAGCATGATTAACTCCCAATTTATAAAGATTTACTTTTTTAGTGTTAATTAATGAATTAAGGTAAAGTAGAACAAGTAAAGCAAGTAAGGATATTATAGTCGGGCAAGGCCGACCATCACATACGTTAGACTACCTTGTCTAGTATAATTATTCACTCGTTTACGTAATTACAGACAATCTCGCAATCCTAAACTTTAGACCGGATAAGGTAATTTTATAAACCCCTTCTTTATAGAACCGTTCCAACGAGAATTAAAACTTTATATGTTAAAAAGGGATAATTTGCAATATTTCATGGTGAAAATTGGCTCATAATAATAAATTGACAAAGAAATCTACCTTACTGAACTTGGACCATGGAGGTCTATTTTTTGGATACCACTGCATATAAGGAGTCTTATGAATCGTAAGCTCTTATATATGCTAAAAGGGTTTAATTTGTTAATTTTGTTGCGATGAAAATTTGTTCATAACAGTAATTTCATATAAAAAATAGGTGGACCTAATTTGAATTGCATGGATCCATTTCTTGGCTTCACTCCATGTCATGTATTATATAATTATGAGTAGAAAGGCCTTAAGAGAGAAAGGCTTAATTTTTAATATTTTATGATGAAAATTAACTCACAGTAGCGACTGAGCAAGAACAATTAAGGGTAGGGAATTTAGATTATATAGGTCTATTTTTTTTTACCCTAATATACTACGAAAAGCAAGATCTTATACGGTATGTTATTGT